ACACTAGGACAGTAGCAGTCCACAAGAGCTTCGCAAGTCTGAAATTGATGAAGACAAGACAGTTACTTTTGATACCTAAATGCTAATTTATTTACATTCAAAATAAAGAAAAACGCAGTTACTTTACCTTATTTCCTAAAGTTTGCACTGCAATGGCTTTGTATGCAAGTTCTTTCCCTCCGAGGGACGTGCCAAGGAAATATTCGATTGAATAAAGGCCACTGTGTGAGTCAAAAGCTTTAAATTCTAGTTTCATTTTTGACAGATCGGTGGAGTTATGAACAAACAACTGTCTCACGCCATCCTTTTTCAGCCAAATATTCTCAATATCAGGTACACTGGAATCGACATGAAAAGTGATATTTTCAGAAAGCGAATTATTCATCAAATCTTTTGAAGTCACGGTGATTGTGCGAGTTTCTCCATCTTTCAAATCAAGATCAACACATAAAGATTGGATAGGAAAGCGTGGTACCAAAACGTCTGAGGACATTCTTTTATTTTCTTTAAACCATGAGTAATGGTATGATACTATTCCAAAAACATTGGTTGTTCCAGATATCGGTAAAATTCCGCTCTCTTGTTCGTACACGCCTTGATATATTCCATGATAATCCTTTTGCATTTTGCGTAGGAGATTATATCTCAGATTGTACGAATTGTAATATCGGTTTTCCCATGAAAGACAACTCTGACCTTTATTTGTCTGCCAGGTGTAATTGGTTTTTGAGCTCGCTGTATATACCTTAAGCCTTTTTTCGTCATTGATTTTAATTTCGGAGGAATTATCGAACATAACGAATCTTCTAGCAGATTTCACATTTCCAGCATGATCCAACACTTCCAGGGAAATGCCAAAAAGGGCTGGTTGGTGAGGCAGTGTAACATTGAATTCACCATGAGAAATATTGAAAGTCTGAAGAGCTTTTTCATCCATGGAAAGTGTAAGGTTATCTACTTCCTTTGTTTCATGGATACTAATGGAAAAGCTCTTAATGCCTGATGCTTGGTCGGGTCTTCTTGGGAATGGATCATTCCATCCTTCAATTTTGATCTTTAAAGTCGAATCTTTTGTCAAGCGACCGGATATCAATTTTATTGGCTCTTGTCCTGGACAAGTAAGGATTTCACTACAGTGCTTTGGCGGCGAGGAATCAAAAAGGAAACATACATCATTTGATTCAGTTACTCTGTTGTAAGTGACTGCAGGGTACTCTTTGTTACTGAAGTCTTTGTACTTCATGTATCCCCCGCTCTCAGTTTTATACGATAAGCAGAGCCTAGTGAAATAAACTTGTATTCATGATTGAAAAATTAAACTGGAAAAAATGCAAATACGGATAAATCACTTATACAACACAACTTTTACAAACCTTTGTCCATTGTTTAAGAACCATGTTGATTGATTGAGAATAACATGCCTACACTCTATAGGATGGTCTGACTTTGGATGTAAATCGTCCATCCGTGAATTGCATTTTGATTTGTCTGTTAACTGTTCTACATGCAAGGTGGACTTTGCTCCTAAGGAGAGATTATTAAACATATGGAGATAATGAACAATATTTTTAAAAGATCAAAAGTCCATAAAACAATACAAAATAGGAGCAGAGCAAACAAATCTCCAAAACATCAGAGGTGGGATCAGGTGCCGTGGAGGAGTGATCATCTAATGATATCAGGATATCAAAATGGTACACAGAGCAGATGACAAATTTCATTTATAGTGTTTTGTAAACACACTGGAAAAAAGATGTAAGTAGTAGATTAACACTAAGAGTAACATTAAGTGAATATTTTACGTGTTCGACATAAGTTATGTATAAATTTTTCTTGCATGTTGTGCCCACAGACACTTGTTTCGGGAATGAATAAACAGTTTACCCGTGCATTTCCTCTGAAAGTGTAAATGAGCGCGATTCTAAGGGAGGGGGGTGCTCGGTGTAAATCGGAGTTAGATACCTTGTGTTATTATTATACTATGGGTCAAAAATTTATTGCAGAAACAAGTGCCTGTGGTTGTGCCCCCTATTAATCAAATTTAAAAGAGTTAGGAACCCCATCGCACTATTCAGAATTTTTAAAAGAAATTTCGTTTATTTTATTTATATGCATGTTGTATGCATGTTATTCAAATCTGCTTTCTGTGTTATGATTTTTTTTTTTAGAATCCACTGAATTCTATAGCTGATTTTAATCTAAGCGAGTCATGACCATACAAATTATATGACATATGGAGACAACGAAGTTATTAAGGTCAAAAATAAAAATCGTCCAGCCAACGTCTTGTATAAAAATGAAATTTTGATCGTATGATTATTCATGCGATGACATACCTCGAGTGTCAATAGATAAATGTATTTTAATAAATAACTTCTCTGAAAAATATAAGATAAATAGGCATTAAAATCGTCTAATGTGTAGATTCACTTACTTGTTAAATCCTCCTTATATACTTGGACTTCAGCATGGACAACACCAAAATGAGACTCGCTGATACGAATTGGTTTGCTGGGAAGACTCTTTGGTGTTTCAAATAACATGACAAAATTAAAAGACAGCGATTTTGGTTGAAAGTTGATAGATGTTGATTCTTCATTTTTGCACTCTCCATGTGAGGTTGAATTACCCATCTCACCTTTGTTACTTTCAGCACCCAACCGACAAGTAAGAATCTGTGGCTTTTTGGACACTAACCAATAAAAATTTGAAATATTTATTGTCAAAAAATTAATTTAAATTAAAGCAGCAATTTCGGTTTTTATCGGCGTAAAGAACTTATCTTGTGTGTTTTTTTAATCCTAAGGCCGTTAAGGACTTCTTTTTCTCAATATAAGTCGTTAAAAAAGTTGACAACCGCATTTCCAGTTGCCCCGTGTAAAAAATTCTTAAAGTTCTGATGCAACTGGTCACCTTTAAATCATCTCATAATTAACTTACACTGACAACGAGCCGGATCAGAAGATGACTTTAGGAAGCCATCGCTACAAACACAGTGTTTTGCCAAATTTCCTGCGCATGTGCCAGGCCAACACCAATTCTCCTTCCATGAACACGTAGCTTGAACAAAAAATTATTAATTTGTCTCTTACAATTGAATTTTTTAAAAAACATGTATCAAGTACATTAAACATGTAAAAAGTAGAATAAAGAAAGGAATTTTATGCTTAATGAAAAATAAAGATAATGAAGACAGAAGCAGTCTAGAAAATAACTTCCTCCCTCTAAAACAAGCCAGGAAACATTCAAATCAAACAAGGAAGACCCATCAAAGGGATACTCCTGGTTAAAAAAATGAGTAAAAAATGAAGATAATGCACAGTGATCGATCTAAAACAAAATCTATAAACAATACAAATAAATAGAGCATATGACACAGGCTCCTTCAAATCCTAAGGAGGGGTAAGCATCCCCTGTGGACCTGTCATATCCTCTGTGAGTCCTAATGGCTATGTATTGATCAGGTACATTGTAGGTAACATTACGTATTCAAAAATGTAGAGGAAAGAAACACAGTTAAAACCCCTTCAAATATTGATTTTATAAGTAAATAACAAACAAGAGGTCCAAGGGCCACATCGCTCACCTGAGCACTTTGGCTAGGAAAAAAGAAGAAATTAGTTTATTAATGAAAATTTTAAGCCCAAAAGTATTCCCAACCATTTCTTAGGGGAGAGGGTATAATTTGCACGAACTTGAATCTAGACTACTCGAGAATTCCTCCATATAAATATGATCAATCATGCCTTTGCTATTCTTGAGAAGAAGATTTTCAAAAAAGTTTCCTATATATTTCTATGTAAAACTTTGATCGGCCATTATGGCCCCGCCCTACCCCCGGGGTCATTATTTGAACAAACTTGAATCTACACTACCTGAGAATGCTTCCATATAAATATGATCAATCATGGCTTTGCTATTCTTGAAAAGAAGATTAAAAAAAAATCTTATATATTTCTATGAAAAACTTTGATCGGCCATTATGGATCCGCCCGACTCCCGGGGGTCATGATTTGAACAAACTTGAATCTACACTACCGGAAGATGCTCCGTATAAATATGATCAATCATGGATTTGTAATTCTTGAGAGAAGATTTTTAAAGAATTTTTCCATGCATTTCTATGTTAAAATTTGGTCGGCCATTGTGGCCCCGCCCTGCCCCCGGGGGTCATGATTTGAACAAACTCGAATCTACACTTCCTGAGGATGCTTCCATATAAATATAATCAATCATGACTTTGTTATTCTTGATAAGAATATTTTTTTTTAAAAAATTCCTATATATTTCTATGTAAAACTTTGATCGGCCATTGTGGCCCCGCCCTACCCCCCGGGTCATGATTTAAAAAACTTGAATCTACACTACCTGAGGATGCTTGCATATAAATATGATCAATCATGCCTTTGCTATTCTTGAGAAGAAGATTTTTAAAGAATTTTCCTGTATATTTCTATGTAAAAGTGTGGTCGGCGATTTTGGCGCCGACCTACCCCCAGGGGTCATGATTTGAACAAACTTGAATTTACACTACCTGATGATGCTTGCAGGTAAATATGATCAATCATGCCTTTGTTATTCTTGAGAAGAAGATTTTTAAAGAATCTTCCTGTATATTTCTATGTTAAAATTTGGTCGGCCATTGTGGCCGGGGTCATGATTTGAACAAACTTGAATCTACACTACCTGAGGATGTTTCCCCATGAGTTTCATCTTTCTTGGCACAGTGGTTCTTGAGAAGAAGATTTTTAAAACATGCCACCAAATTTTTCACTATTTCTCAATTATCTCCCCTTGAATGACGGCGTAGCCCTTTATTTGAAGAAACTTGAATCCACTTTACCTCAGAATACTTTGTGGCAAGTTTGGTTGAAAGTGGTCCAGTGGTTCTTGAGAAGAAGTCGAAAATGTGAAAAGTTTAAAAAAACAGACAGACGGACAGACAGCTAGACAGACGGACGCCGGACAAAATGTGATCAGAAAAGGAAACCCCTCTAAATCTATATACCTTTGCAAACTTTCTTATTTGAAGTAGGCCAGTAAATAGAATACTCAGGTGTTGACTTTTCATCCTGACATTTTGCACATTGATAGTCATCAGTGGTGGTACAAGTCGTAGATATACAATGTTCCGGAAGATGGCAAGCTACATAACCAGAAGAAAAATTCATTATATTAGCGTTGTTTCATACTTTTATATAACAGGCACAAGGTTTGGTCATCAACCTCGAAAGCAACGTACTGTACATAGATCTGAAGATGAAAGCCTAATTTCTGTTTGGAAATCGTTTCCTTGCTTAGAAAATAAGACTTTAGTACCTACTAGTATATGTGTCTTTCAATAACTTACAATTGCAAAGTTTCTGTTTATGAATAAAATTTGTGGTAATATTCACAAAGGATTTGTACTTACCGTGTAATTCACACATAAATGGCCTTTCACTTGAACAAGACTCGTCGTTCCAGGTCCAGGAATGTTCACTTCGAAGCTCTATGCAATCTTCGTTTCCATTGCTATTGCTTGGTTCATCTGTTTTTACAAGAAAATTATATGAATATCTTCAGCATAGTGCTATCCCAATTTTCTACGATTATAATTTTTTCGGATACAAACACATAATTACGTATAACGCTCTATTTCATACGTGAATCCCAGTTCGAAAAAGAAATACGATCTCCCTCGTCCCAAACCCAGTGTCTTTTTCTGGAGAGATCATTTCCTCCGGTCCAGAGATGTCCACTTCTGGCCAAACCTAGAAATACCAAACTTCTGCTGCACATTAAAATCAAAAGAACAGACCACAAAAAAAAAATTGAAATGGAATTCAATGTTAGCTCAACATGCCGACCAGAGGACCTAATAAATCAGTTTCTTTTTTAATCTAATTTTAAAAACCATTCTACATTTAGACATGCTGCGGTCTTCAATTTTCGAGATACACTTTGTATATCAACCACCTTTATGAATCGACGTCTTTTCCTGAATTGCACTGAATTCAAAGACACAAAAGAGTTTTACACCTGCCGTATATTTCAATACATGTATTTTAAGGAAAAAACTGCGCATCGATTGCATACTGAGATACAATTAAAAGTTAAGCTCTCACAATTTTGTAGTCAAATATCATTTTGTCTGTTTAATTACCGAACGTTATCTTCATAATTTACAGTTGTGTTCTCATTTCATAATGAAGATTCAGGAAAAAATAAAGGTAAACCTTATCAATGTACTCCTAAAGATTATTTTAACTGTAAATGTATTATGGTAAAAATTGGTTTTATTTCTCATCTTGATATCTTGTGTCTGCTAAAAATTATATGTCATTATTAATAATACTTTTGAGAATTTCAAACAAATTATTAAACGTCACAAAAGTGGCAACATACGACAAACTGTTTTACAGACTTTTTACTCATTGAAGGAGGATAAGATAAGGTGTTCTAGAGTTGAAAGGATTATGGAAAGAAATTAACCAGTTGATGGGTAACCGGGGTATCAAAATACTTATTGCATTAAAATAAAATACATTATTTAATACCTTGTATGTGGTTTTGTTTAGACCTGTCTCTTACACCTACAAGAAAACCTCCATGTCCTCGACAAATGCCTCGAGCCGTGTACCAGTTGACTGACATTCCAGAAAATTTCTTGTAACAATAATCATTATGCTGGTAACTCCAACCCGATTTACACACAAAATTGTATGCTGTACCTGAAAATGCATATGAAATGTCAATTTTTTTTAACTTCGTGCATCTTACGTAAAAATATCTAGAAGAGAAAATTTTGCTACCAGAGTTGAAAATGACCAGTTTCTCGTTGAATTAAAAGGTTAAAAACTAATGTAATTAGAAATAAAGATATTTCGAAGTATTTTAAAGCAAGACATATTTCAATGCAGTTTTAGAAATCTAATTATGAAGTAAAATGCATTTTATGTTAGTACTTTGATATTTCAATTTCAGAATGGGATCAATTTTATTAATAAATTTTTTTTATTTCAGCGAAAAGTATTATATATATCAAATTAAAATGAGACACACGCTATTAACAATTTTACAACTTACATGATGCAAAGAAGAAACAGACAAATAATAAACAGTTCCACATTTTCTTCTTAGTCCTTTTTCTACATTTTTGTATGGACTCCTCTATCACCAGTAACCTCTGCAGAGTATATATGAAAGGTCGAAGATAACGAAATTTAATCCCAAAAATGACCAATAGAATTTCGAGAGAAAAAAAATCGAATATCCTTCCTGGTTGTCTTTTACACCGTTTACACAGATATTACACAATGAAATGTTTACACAGTCCACGTTTCTTGATAGCAAACCGTGTAGAGACCACTTTGAATAATTTCAGATTAACAAATGTCTTTTAGAGTTTATCTGAAATGTTTTAAATGAAACGACTCTATGTATATACTTAAAAGAGATAAATATTAAACTTGAAAGATTAGAGTTCAGTCAAATGACAAGGGCACTGAGAAATGAATTTGATTTTCGCAAAACACTTATCTCTTATATATTTCTGGTGTTTTTTTTAATCACTGCTAATTAGACTATAATTTAGATATAATTTAGATATTATTCCGAATTAAACTATTCTTCTACTCGTATTTCATGACAATCTTTTAGCTCAACTGAATGAATCAGTGAAAATTTATACAATAAGAAATTAGAGTCAATGTGGACGAGATTTCAATGAATTCATTTGTAAAACAGGTTCAACATTCAATAAACTAGTGCTAATTGTAACGGGGACCGTTACAGATGTTCCCCAAACGCTCCCCATCTCCCTTTTGGTGCCATATTCCCTGTTAGCTTCATTAAATAAGACAAACTTTATGCATTTGAGACTTTAACAACGTTTACCCAGAAGGGTACCAAGTTCATTCAAATTTTAGCATTGCACGCGTGCGCATGTGAATGCATGTGCGTAATGACCATATCATCTTGTCTACACAATCTATATACTTTAATATACTAAATATTAAAGTATTTAATCCAAAAGTATTCAAAAATACGCTCATTCAAGTGTATTTTTGGTTTTACTCATTTCACGTGCACGCACGTGCATACATGAGCATGGTGACACACCTTCTGGTAGAAGTCCATTACATCTATCTATGTTCTAAATCCCACCCCGTTTGGTTGAAAACCAAGGGAGTTCTAGCTGATTAAAGTTTCAGCCAATCAGATTGCAGCGTACGTTCACGCACGTGTATGGATGTGCATGGGGATCATTCCTTCTTGTAGATGTCCATAATATCTATCTATGTTCCAAATCTCATCCTGTTTGGTTGAAAACTAAGGGAGTTATAGCTATTTAAAGTTTCAACCAATCAGATTGCAGCGCACGTACACGCACGTGTATGGATGTGCATGGTGACATACCTTCTGGTAGAAGTCCATTATATCTATCTATGTTCCAAATCCCATCCTGTTTGGTTGAAAACCAAGGGAGTTACAGCTATTTAAAGTTTCAGCCAATCAGATTGCAGCACACGTGCATGCACGTGTTTTCTTGATAATTGCTATATATCATGTTGTAGGATATCCTAATGCATGGCTATGTTCAAAATTTCAAAGGATTTCATAAAAAAAAGAAGAAAGATATTGAGACTTTAGTTTCAGCCAATCAGAGCGAAGCGCACGTGCATGCGCGTGAGATCTTGCTATTTTGACCTTGTCATATTGTCTATGCTACTACTATATCCTTATATTATGAGTTTTTAAGCATTTCATCAAAACGGTAAAGATTTACGTCTATATCAATTAAATCGGTCATTTCACGTGTTGCTCGTGCGCGCTCTTGCAAGCACGTGCACACAAAATGGCATGTTGACAATGTCATCTTATCCACATTTATAATATGTCTACATATTCTAAATATCAAAGCATTACATCGAAAAATGTAAAAGTTACGGCAATTTCAAGTATATTGGTCATTTCACGTGTTGCACGTGCGCGCTCTTGCAAGCACGTGCGCGCAAAATGACCTTCGTTCCGCAAATCTACATAACATGCCTACTTACCCTAAAAAGGTTTCCCCTTAATCGGATGTGTACTTTACAAGATCATTCGCGGACAAAATTTTCCCGAGAAGAAAAATAATAATAACTAGGGCTAATTGTAACGGGAACCGTTACAGATGTTCCCCAAACGCTCCCCAACTCCCTTTTGGTGCCACACTCCCTTTAAGCTTCATTAAAAATGACAAACTCTATGCATTTTACACTTTAACAACGTTTCCCTGAAGTATACCGAGTATATTCAAATTTTAGCATTTGCACGCGTGCACATGTAAATGCATGTGCGTAATGACCATATTCTCTTGTCTACACTATCTATATACATTAATATAATAAGATAATAAAGCATTTAATCCAAAAGTATTAAAAAATACGCTTCATCAAGTGTATTTTTGATTTTACCCATCTCACGTGCATGCACGTGCATGCATGTGCATGATGACCTTACCTTTTTGTAGGAATCCACTATGTCTATCTATGTTCTAAATCCCATTCTGTTTGGTTGAAAATCAAAGGAGTTATACCCATTTAAAGTTTAAGCCAATCAGATTGCAGCGCACGTGCATGCGCGTGTTTTCATGATACCTGCTATATATTATATTGTAGTATATCCTAATGCATGACTATGTTTAAAATTTCAAAGCATTTCGTCAAAAAACAAAAGAGATATTGAAATCTTTGTTTCAGCCAATCAGAGGGAAGCGCACGTGCATGCACGTGAGTTCGTGCTAATTTGACCATGTCATACCATGACTATTAATATATCCTTATAGAATGAGTTTCAAAGCATTTCAATAAAAAATGTAAAAGTTATGGCTATAATAAGTATATCAGTCATTTCACTCATTTCACGCGCACGCACGTGCATGCGTATGCGCGCAAAATGACCTTCGTTGTGCACACCTACACTTGACACCTATTAACCCTAAAAAGGTTTTAACTTAATTGGGTGAACAGTTTCTGAGAACACTCGCGGACAAAAAAAGTACCGGAGAACAAAGAAGAAAAAAAAGAATAATAATAATAATAATAATAATAAGAAACCGAGTAAAAACAATATGTTCCCAAACTCCGTTTGGGGAACATAACTAGAAACTCTTGTTGCTACAGCAACAAAGAAGGTCTTCCGTTCTCCTCTATTAATCTGTATGCAGGATGTTTTTTTTCTATTTTAAAAAAGACAGACATATCATAAACTAGTAGATTAATTGTTCAGTGAACAATTATCGGCCTTTCCACCTTTTTAAGCATTTCAATATCATTTGGACTGAAAAAAGTAGGGAAAAAAGCAAAAAAATAAATAAATTAGCAAAATTCTCATTTCTCTACAAGGATTTTAGATCGGGCTCGCAGTTGGTATAAATATACTCTAAACAGACTTCCTGGATTATACGAGTCGACTCGGGGATAAGCACGAATTCATTGATCACGCAAAGAGAGCACGGTCAAAACATTATAACACGCTCCTAGGTGTCTATATGAGCTTGAATGAGATTGTTTTCGAGTTAAGATGTAAGGGGTAGGATCTGATTAAAATTACGATATACCTAATGATATGAATAACATGCATTTGATCTGCGCATCAAGACGGAAGTGTAAGTGAAAACGTTGTGAAATGTCCCATGTGTACCTGCAACATATGTGCATTATACATGTATTAAAGAGATGTTTGAAAATATCCTATTTGAGTCGTTTTATATTTGAAATGAATGGCGATAAATCATTTTAGAGCATGTGAGAAACCTGAGCGAGAGATGCAAGGCAGTTTGTAATTATGGAAAAGGAAAACAGAGAATCGGGTTCGGGTTTTAACATTCCTGACCGAAATTTGCATGAAATTCAATGTAAGTAGCATAAATAAATTTCCAAACATGTAATTCTAGATGGGAAACACAGGGAAGAAACGTGTATTTCTTTTTAATATGCTGAAAGTCGCTATTTCTTGGGATTGTGTTATTCTAGAAAAAAAAAATCAAATTTCAAATGAAATCAAGATTCATTCTATTAATATTTGATCCAAATAAAATTGAAATAAATTCCATACACTAAAGAAAGCAAGAGTACTTGGTCGTAATAGAGCAGGAGAATCGAATGATATTAACAAAAATTGCAGAAATAGCCAATACGGGCTTTAATCAATTTTTATGCTCAGCAATACAAAATTTCAGACAGAAAAAAAAATGCAGATTTTGCCGATTTTCACTAGAGTTTCATTTTATTTTAGAGACTCACCTTAAAACTCTCAGGACACTTTCTTTAAGTTCTTTTCTTGCTTTTCCTCCAAATCTTATGTCGATATATCGTGTCGTTTGACTTGTAGATATTTTCTCTATGCTGCTGTTGATTTTTTTTTTAAGAAAGGAGGGGAGGGGGGATATAAGCATTTGTTAGAGTAAGAGTTGCAAATACCTCAACGACATTAAACTTAATTGTGACCTTTGGATCAATAGGGGGTCATTTATCAAGGTCAAGGTCATCCAAAAAAGAGAGAGATAAACTTGAGATTAACACTTGAAGCTGAATCTAGATAAAAGAAATGAATATTTCTTTATTACTTTTTGAGTAAGGGGTCAAGGTCAAATGTCAAGGTCAAACATCAAAGGTCAAGGTCATGTGGCATATATAAGCAATTTAAATACTTTTCCAATTACCTTGACTTTTTGACCTTTGGTGTTGTTTTATTTCTTAAAATTGGAAGTTTTCGTTGTTTTTATTTTTTTAATTTATTTTTGGTGGAGCTGACATATTTCAAAAGTACTAATTAGATGCAATAAAGTAATGAAAAAAAAAATGGAAAGAAAAAAGTTGGAATTTTCGATTTTTCAAATCACATCCTGTTACGACCGGAAGTGACGGCGGAGACATTTATCCCTATATCTGTTGTTCACTCTTCAAGGTTTATTATTCATATAAGTTTCGAGTCTTGATGTGTTAACATAACCAAGATCTGGCTTTCTTAACTACTCAGTTTGAGGACAGGAAATCATGATACCGGAAGTCAATTTTTAACAGATATTTGTAGTTACTCTAGACATTTGCAGTCTGAATAACATGTTCTAAAATCATATCAAATACTCTTTCCATAAAAGATATATATGGGATAGTATGATACGCAATTTATGTAGTTTTTATCTCATAACCGGAAGTTGCCGTTTTTTGTTTCTGGTGGGACGGACATATATCAGAACAACCAATAAGATGCAATAATGTGATGCTG